AGTCGCCACAAGTGTGCAGGCCAACCATGACTGCATCCTGGGTTTTGGACAAATCACACAGAGATGGGAGAGAACAGAAAAGGAGGTGGAAGCAAGTAGGGGGAGTAGTAGAGATCGATGGTAAAATTTATTGATGATGACGCGCTGCAGATTTGGCACCGCAGTCACACCCCAGACTCACTCCAGTAATGCAAACTCCAGCTGCTGTGACACACTTGTAATTCTAGGAGTTGCTATGGGAATCAAGCTATGCTACTATGCTCTACAGCTGGCTGAATATAGATGAAGCTTTTCTTTTTTTACATATATTATTAAACATTTACTTTTGGCTTTGGGTTTGCTCACCTCCAGCTCATTGATGAGGTCTCGGAGCTCTGTTTCTGCAGTAACGTAAGATGTGAGAGGTGAAAACACGGCTCCAGTGCTGTCTGCCCTGCTCTGAGCTTTCCTCTCCAGGTTCTCTCTCTTCCTCCTCTCTCTCTCCTCAGCACTGAGTTGACTTGGGGGAACTCTGGGGGAAGCAGGCTGTATTACATCCACGGATAAAGCACTCAGGAAGAGCTCGTCTGTTTCTAGGTTTTGCTCTGAACGTCCTTCCACTGTGGGGTTGATGTCTGATGAGCTTGTTAACACCCTCTCCTCCTCTTGTGACCGAATTCTTGGCCCATTACCAGAGAAAACATCTTCGTCTCCATTCAGCCCAGTTTTTTTTTCTATTAACTCCTCCTGAGGCGAATGTGTGGCCTCTGCTTGTGTCCTTGCTGCTTTGGTGTGTTTCTGGTATGCTTTCGAGAACTTCTTTAGCTTCCTGTTCCTCTCCTGAGCACCGTGGGTGTTGGTGCTGGAGGAGTCAATGCCATACACCCGAAGGGCATACTGAAGAGAGAGGAAGGAGCTCAAGTAGCCCTTCCCTGAGCCTACATCTATCACCTGCATGTCAAGTTAAAAAACAAAAACAGTACATGTTAAGAGCTGTTCAGTGGTTTTTACAGATTTCTTTTTTATATACCTTTAGGATATTGCCTGTACCTATAAAAATGTTGCCCTACCTGATTAACCCCACAGTGCTGAGCCAGGCAGGCCACCACCTCAGACATGGACTGGACTTCATGGGATTTCTTAGAAGTCATAAACTCATCTGACTCAAAAGCAGCCACTATATTAAAAAAAAAAAAGGTCAGTGGAAAGAAATGTCACAGTTTCCCCAAAATTGACACCACATAGGTTCAAAAATGATGGTTGTGATTTGAACAGGACAATCCTGGATTGCTTCCTGTTCTCAGTGGGAAACAATCCTTCCCTACCTGTCTCCTCTGGAGTACCAGACTCGGACTTCATGTCCCTGAGGTCCTGCAGTAGATTCTCCCGGCTCATGCAGAGTCCAAGGCTGGGAAGAGAGTGCTCTTTAGCTGCCTGCACAAGTTCCTGGGTGTCAACCAGTCGCTTTGTATCATTGCAAAACCCAAATGTGGTGCTGGGCTGCTCTGTTTAGGGAGACAGATATGGGATATCTGTAACATAAAGTCCACATAGAATATACTTTAAAATTCACAGTTTCGGTCCATGTATAAATAGTTTTGCTTATATGCCTTGATAATTTATATTAATTTATAAATACTGGGGATCAAATCTTTAATAAGCTGATACTAACATAGATTTTGGTCCAGAACATCTGCAGTCCCTTTCCAGATGCGATATGATCCACACACATTTGGGCTGATAATTACTTTCTTTCAAAAGTAACTAACAACTTCAAGTCTAAGTAAAATCAACACTTTAAAAATATATATTTCATTAGTATTAGGTTACTCCTTGTTCCTAAACATGTAAGAATGTTTCCAAAACTCAGAAAAGTTTATTTATTTTATTTTTTGCCATCCATAAGTCAATGCCTGGGGTTGCTATCTCAAATTTTTTTAAGAAATTAGGTCTCTCTGACATTTTTCCAGGAAACAAGCTTCCATATTAGACAATAAAAGAAAAGAAAAGAAAAGCCCTTCGCTCTCTTGTTTGGTTGGAACTAGCTTACCACTTCGCCTGTGCTGTGGCTCCCTCTGCTGGTGATTACCGGAACCTACAGCTGACAGGACGTCCTCCGGTGATACGGCCACGAACCGTTTCCACACGTCGTGAGTGTAAAACTCCACTGTGTGGGCATTAGCAATATTAAGAGTTATAGATAGAAACCGAGTGACTTCATCTATCCGTTGCTGAATTTCTGTGAGGCTGCATGAGGAGGATTTCATGTTAATTAATAAAACGAAGAGGAGCTGGGCAAGCACGCAAACGTCCCACTTCTGGTGTACGCCTAGACATTGGCAGTAGAAAAAACGGTTCGATGAATTTACTGATCTGCTTTTTATTTTTCAATAATATAAGCTTTACATACATACAAGGCGAGTTTACACAGTGTAACAGGGCGTTTACACTTCATCAAAAACCAACATACTTGGAAGTCCGACAAGAAAAAAATAATAAAACTCACGTTGTTATTATCACGTTGTTCAAAAACTATTAAAAAAAATTTTTAACTGAAGCCTCCTTTCATACCTGTTCACTACAGCATGAATTTATAACAAGGAATTTCAACAAGGAACATTTTGAAATAGGGCCTTCCGCAATCGATTTATCAAGTCTTGTCTTGTTGACGTCATCACACAGCGTCTGTAACGAAACGGCATGCTAGCTCAAGTCGACAAGGAGGTTGTAAACATTTGAGTTTTCCCGAAGAGACTGAACACACATGGCACCAACAGATCAAAAAACGAAGAATGAGAAGTTTGCAGGGAAAGAGGGCGACTTGGCGAAAACAAAAAGTGGCGCGAAGGGTGTCAAAAAGAAAAGAAAATGGATCTCCGATCAGAAATTATTCAAAGGCAGCGTAAAAGAAGGTACAATAAGGCTGAACGTACACGTAAAAACTACACAGTCTCTATCTTTAAATAACATAGGAACCGTGAGAAATCAATTCATATTAAGATCAGAACTTAAACCGTGTTGGGTTAATTCAAACGACTGTCAACACAAGAGCATGAGCATAGTCTAGATAAGTAATGACACTGAATCTGATTTTTTTTTTTTAATGGTTTGATTTGCCTGTATTTAAAATCTCTGACTTAACTCTTCAGGTCAAGGATTTGCTTTCAACAGGAAGCAGAAAGTCAAACATGAATACAACAAACTGCTGCGAAAGGAGAAGAAGAAGAACCCAGGGTCCAAAAACCTGTACAAAGAAGAGTATCCAGAACACCTCAGGCATCTGTACGAGGCTGAGGCAGAGAAACTGAAGAAAGAAGCCTGGACAAACAGAGTGAACAGGAGTAAGCTGAGGATGAAAGGGCAGGCGAAAGAGATGGGGGAAGGTGATGGAGAGGAAGAGGATGATGATGAGGCACAGCAGACCGAGGCAGCTGGTGAAGAAGAAGTTAGTGGGGGATCTGAGCTGAAAGAGTCAGTGTCCAGGAACCAAGCTGAGCCAACATCAGCTTCACAGAGCGAAAGGTGAGCAAGTCTGTGCAGACATACAGCACTGTGCCAAAATCATGAAGCAATCCTCATTACTTTATATTTAGCTTTCAAGGAGCATTGACTGCTTTTTTGGTCACTTCCTTGCTTGTTCAGCCACTCAGCAATGACGTATGAATCACTGAAGCATAGAAAACACACCTTGTATAAAGGATGGAACAGTGTTGTGGCTACACTGAATCACTTTGTTGCTAGCAGTTTGTTGCAAAAACTAATTTGTTCTTTAGTTGAACCTAAAAAAAAATGCCAAAGATAAAACAGTTTGATTCCCAAAGAGCTACTAACTGAAAACCTGGCATATCTCAGCATGGTATGCATTGTGTCCTATAAGGAAATGAGGGGTGGCTCACAACTTTTACACAACACTTAAAACAAGAGAGGGTGGAGTGGTGGAGAATGCATAGACAAAGTCAGCTTTTATAATGTTGGGTTTAAAAAAAAAGTTTGCTTGTTTCCACCAGTCTTCCAATGAGCAATCGCATGAGGAAAAAAATGGAGAGGAAAAACTCTTACCAGAAGACAAAAGAAGAATTTGAGAGGATCCAAGAGAAGCGGAGAAAGAAGAAAGAGGTAATGTGTTTGACTAAGTAAAAGAAAAATAAGATCACAGTCTTTCTTTTTTTTAATGAAAAAAGTTTTTAAACAACAGCCTGTCTGTTTGCTGTTTTTAGGAGTACTTGAAGAACAAGCAACAGAAAGAAGAGGCCATCCAGAAGTACAAACAGAAAAAGATGGAGACATTCCAGATCCTAAACAAGAAGACCAAGAAAGGACAGCCAAATCTAAACCTCCAAATGGAATATTTACTTCAGAAGATACAAGGAAGTGGGAAATGACTCCTCCTCAGAACTGAATGCCAGTAGAGGACTTTACTTAAAACCTCATAGGCTGAATCAAGGCTGCGATTTCCTGTGCAAAATCAAAGTGGAAACTTGTGGTTGTTTTGACCATAAATTACTTTGAGATATATATTGTGATTTCACAGTATTTTTTGCTCTGACCACTGAAAGTCATTGTACTGTCCAACCACAAGATGGCATCATAAGAAATGAAGTGATGACAGAGCATGCTTTTATTTTTAAAAATAAATAAATATATAATTTCCAATAATGTGCTTTTATTTTGAAATAAACCATAAATACAACTTTCTTTTGGCCAATTTTCTGGTAGTCAACAAGTTTAGCTTTTATTTCCAAGTAAACCTCCAAAAACACAATAACACTCATCCCGCTGACAGCCTTCATTATGCTGCTGTCTTAATTACACACTACATAAACATGTTGAACACATGTAGCCTGCATAGAGTAAGCTCACTCTGCAGCCCCATCTCAGTGTGAGAGCAGCGGGTGGACCCAGGCTGAAAAGCCTCAGGCTGCCTCCTCATGACATCACATGGTTGCAGAATGACTTGCCTAACACTCGTCTGTGAGGCAAGACTTCCTAAACACAGTGCGGTCACAGCTCTGTTAATACTGAGAGCGGATACAAAAGGTTTCAGTTTGTTGTGCTCATCATTTGTAGAAGGTAAGAGCTTTCCTTCCGTGTCTGACTTATTCAAAGAAAAAAAGGGACAAATGCAAACCTGTGCAACTTGTAGATACAAGAGCTGAGGAAAGAAAGAATTCGCCAAGAGTTTTGTATATGCTGCAGAGGTAGGCCCAGAACTTTACTTACATTGTTTAAGTGTCTTTGTCTTTACAAAGTAGGTGGCAGTGCTGCTTAGTAGTATGTACTCAGTTTGTAGCCAAGTTAAAATTTGCACTAATTAAACAGCCTTCAGGAAAAATCCAAATTCAAGACTTGACAATCCAACACCTGCCTCTGATATTTCACTTTCAGCAGTGTTTGCTGCAGATTTAGAATTCCTGACAGCATAAACTGCGCTCCAGCTCGGAGCAGTGCAAGCAAGACAGCACTTCAAAACAAAGGCGCGAGGAAAACACATAGGGGGACACATTAATTCATCTGCTGCTTGAAGCAGTCTTGCAGGCATTGTGCCGTCATGTGTTCTGTATGGTGGAGTATTAAGATAATCCTTTACTGTGTATTTACATACCTTTGTCAGTGGCTTACTAGAAAAGGGAAGTGCAGTTTAGCTGTAGTGCTCTGCTATTTGTGTAACCACCTTAGTTTTCTTAAACTTGCCTTCACGTAATTTTTTAATTGAGTACAGTTCTTTGTCTGTCTTACAGGAACCTGCAACCAGGTTTAAGTCTGTCTGTAAGCCACCAAGTTATCAGTGATCTCATCATCTGGTGCTACTTCCTGTCTCTGTTGTCATGGTGACTCTAGGAGGCCCAGAGGACTGAATATAGGGCTAATGAAGAAAACTTCAAAGTACATGCAACCTACCACCCAACAGTGTCCATAAACAAATAAATATATAACGATAAGAGAGACACAGCCAAGCATGGAGGAGGAGGAGGATGGGGTGAATGGCTTTGGACGGAGCCCAGAGAGGAGGGGCTCTGACTGGGGTCGCATTGCCCTGCTGGACAAGACCAAGGAGTTCTTCCAGACGTGTGATGTGGAGGGAAAAGGCTTCATCACTCGCACAGATATGAGGGTTAGAGATGGAGGCTGTGTGTGTTTCTGTGGACTTTACACACTTCTGTAAAGTCTGCAGGCATTTGACAATTTCACATTATTAAGGCAGATATATATAAGACATTTTAAATGGTAGTTAATGAATCAAGGATTAATCATTCAGTGTATATACTGTCAGAAAGTAAGGCTTAACAAATCCATCTATTAATATCATTACTGTAAACATTTTCCACCAGTTAGGTTAATAATTGTGCCAGCCCAATATGAATATTTATTTCCTTTGAAAAACAGGGAGGGGTCAGTTTTTCCTCGACACTCTTACTCTTTCAGCGGTTTTTAAAAATCCGTGGAGGACCTGTGAGTGCATTAAGCCGCTGCTAAGAAGAACAACAGTTCAAAAGGACACACTTTTACCTGTGGAACAATTTAGTGTCCTGCGGGGCTTTAATAACAGTGAGCACCGAGCAGGGAACACTCAGTGTCACTTTTTCAGTTCATATTACCGTTGCTAAAGAACTCGGAGCACTCAAACAGCCTGAGAAGTGTCGGAGCAGCACGGCTGATGGAAATGTTTATGAATATAATGCCACTCTCTCAGCGCACAGGCTGCAGTGAAGAGCACAGGCAGGAACAATGCATGCAAGCCTCTTTTTAAAGGTCTGACCATTAGTGAGCTGTGCTCCCAGCTAATTAGGGCAGCTCTTGTGGGTTTGTGTTGAGGGGTTTTTTTAATAAAACACTCTTACATTTAAAAAAAAAAGTTTAAAAAAAAAACCCCTCAGTGCAACTGTTAGGTCAGTGTAAGCTTCGTCTGAGCTGTGTCACTACAGAGGAAAATGTACTGTAGCAGATTCGAGGTGCGAACTTATCATGTGACATTTATTTATTGTGTCTTAAAAGTAACTTGCAGTGGTTTTACAGTGAGTGTGTTTCATTTTGAAGTGGAATTCAGCTCACCACAGTGGTATTTTAAAGTCCTTTTTGTTTATGTGTTTCTCCTGGCAGAGGCTCCACAGAGAGCTGCCTCTGTCCGCAGAGGAGCTGGAAGACGTGTTTGACTCTCTGGATACAGACCACACGGGTTACCTCACACTGGAGGCATTCACCTCTGGATTCAGTAGGTTTTCTGCCATCAGAGGCTCTTTGCTTGGATCACACATATCACACTTGTTACTCCAAATAGATTTCTCTATGTCGAACCTGAAATAGAAGACATTACTATAGCATCAAGTTGAGTTCAAGTTGATTTTGAATACTTAAAGGTATCTTGTAGTTCTGCAAACACAAAAAAACAGAGCGGCTTTAAGTGCAAAATAGAATAATAAGGAATAGTTTGTAAAAATGCAGGCAGGGCTGATTTGTGACAAAAGTAAAAGGGGAAGTTTACTAAAGCAAAGACAGGAAGTAGAGCTGGAGTGTTAAGGTGTTCATCAGGAGTGACCAGATGTAGGCAGGATTAGAAACGACTACATCAGAGGGACAGCTCAGGTAGAGCGGTTTGGAGAGGCAAGGATAGGGTGGTAGGAGACTAGAGAAAGGATGTGAAGATAGAGCTGCCAGACAATAATGAAAAGTAGAAGACCACAGAGAAGATTTGTGGATTTAGTGATGTAGCGATCATTTGCCTAATGGGAGGCAGATAATGGGAGCAACAAAGAGAAAAAGATGTGGGAAGTCATGAAAAGCTTTTGAATTTATCTTTCAAGTTTAAAAGCTGTGGGTGTGTTTCAGGTCAGTTCTTGCATGGTCGAAGGATCTCTGTGACTGATGACCAAAATCAGGCCCCTGGCCCAGTCTTCAGGGCTAAGGAAGCCCTTTATCAGAGCCAATGGGAAGCCAAGCTGTCAGGAGTTGAGGATGAGGAGGAGAGGCACTTCTGCATGCTGCTGGAAAGCCTGGGAGCCAGTAATGTATTTGAAGAGTGAGTTTAATCACAACAAAACCTTATGTGCATTATTGTTTTTTGTCATGATCCATTCTTGACAAACCTGTGAGCTAAGTTGAGTTTTGTCTCTCCCTCTTTATCCCCTTCTCCTCTCTTTCTCCAGTCCAGACGAGGCGCGCAGCCTTTGGATCCAGCTCAGACGTGATGAGCCTCACCTCTTGTCCAATTTTGAGGAATTTCTGGCCAGGGTCACCCACCAAATCAAGGAAGCTCATCAGGAAAAGAAGGAGATGGAGAGCGCCCTCCAGAGGTAGTTGGGCAGAAAACACATACACAAAGGGCAAGGGAAAAGGGGCTTTTCATGGTGTTCTACCCATTCACAAGGTTTTTAGTGACTATGAGTGTGGACGAAATATTGGACATGAGGCTCAATATAGGGAAGGAATGAGAAAGAAATACAGCATTGTGCAACAGTCTCGAGCCACCCCTAATTTCTTTATATAAAAACAGGTTGCCTGTTTTCTGTTTGGATTGCTCATATGAATGTGTGTGTGTGTTTGCAGGGTGCTTGGGATCACTGTCATATTGAGAAATTTAGCTCTTGCCAACCAGATACTATCCATATGATGTTGATGGTGGATCAAATTCTGTACTTTTCTGAGTCCATAATTCAGTCAGACTCTCACTTCTCTTTGTACCTCTGTCTGACCTCCTCAGAAAAGGATTTGAACCAGAAATTTCAAATCTGGATTCATCACTTCATAAGACATACATAAGCCTTTCCTCCCTGTTTCCTTTCCTTAAGAATGTCTTCTTGACAGCCACTCTTCCACTGCGATCATTTCTGACAAGGCTTCTGTGAAGAGTACATGGATCAAACGAAGGGCCAGATGCATCTTTCAGACGTTGTGCGATGTCTTTATTGAATTTTTTCCCCTGTGTCTTAAGGACATGACTTTAAGATACTATTCATCTTCTTTTGTCCTCCACTTGTCCTCATATTTTAACGACACTGCATACCATCTCAAGAGGTGCCAGGTTTTTGGCAAGACTATAAGTAAGGAAATGCATATGCTATATATATATATGTTTTATTTATTTACTTTGTTTTAACCAACACTTTACGGACCAAAAACCAGAGTAAAGCCAATATGCTTCTTATGCATTAGCCCCTAAATAATCAGTGGCATAAGGGTGGGATTGTGTTTACATTGTGGACGCCAGCCAGAGCCTGCTGCATGGGATTTACCTGTAATTCTCTATAGAACAACGTCTTTATCCATGTCAAATGACCACTAATCTAGATCCACACTCTGACTGCCTTCTAGTGGTGTGCAAACACATTAATGAAATGATTGAGTGAACACAGAGCAAAGGGGGATTTTTTTTTGTACTGTATATTAATGTATTTACTCCCCTGATATGCAGAATGACATACTTGATGATTATAGTCTTTTGTCTTTGTAAATGCAACATGAGCATCAGTGGGATGTAGGCTTACTCATGGTACTGCGTGGCACCATGTTACAGCTTGTTATTCTTCTAAACTTAACTAATTGGCTGCTGGGGTCTTAACGATCATCACAGGGATTGTACTTACCAGTAGTCTGAAAATGTGTTTGCATGTCAAGTGCTCACAGTGTAAACAGCAATGTTGTTCTGTTTTTAGATATTACATGTACCACCTTGTGTCTTTCATCGATAAATAGTTAACCTTAACGTGTCATTTCAGGAAGGCAGCAACACATGACAGTGAGATCCGGTATTTATATGAAGAGATGGAGGCACAGATCAAAAATGAGAAAGAACGGCTGCTGCTAAAGGTAAAAGAGCTCAGACATGAAGAAAATCTGACAATGAAGCATCTCCTTGGCAACCGAAGAAGTAAAAAAGATTCAGAAATACAAAGCAAGATGTTTAAAGACATGTATGCTGGACTGCACTGTACAGAAGTGCACTCTATGACACAAGATGACCAACTTCAAATTTAAATAACTTTCTGTGTGCTCATTTTAATTCTGAATTCAACACAGCTGGGATAGGCTCCAGCACCTCCGCGACCCTGAAAAGGATAAGCGGAAGCAAATGGATGGAACACAAGGAAAAAGGAAAAAAAAAGCAGTTCCTTATGGAAGCTGATAGTCTTCCACACTCAACCACTAGACAGTTATTTCAGTAAAGTGGAAGACCACTTTCTGCATTATCATAAATCCTGGGTCTTTCAAAGAGAGAGAAGAAGCAGTAGTAATGATGTAAGCGTAGTTTTGCTTAAGGATTATATCGTATTGACAGCAGTGTTTTTACCTTTCGAGTTAATTTTGTGCACTTTCTTTTAACCGCAAGTTGAACCTTTTCTTCTTCTGGTCCTGCAGGACTCTGAGCGGCTTCAGTTGCGCAGCCAGGACCTGGAGCACCAGCTTCTTACGAAGGAGAGAGATTTGGAGCAGCTTTTCCAGAAGCAGAAACGGGTAAGTTAATATGGACGACGCATCCCAAAGAAATTCTGCGGTCATGTTTAATAAGAAACATCCACCATTGTAACAGCATGACAAAATAAAATTTAAGCTCTCTGTAAAAACATTTGTTATGTGTAACTATTGAATAGTGGGCATGAGGCATTACATCTGTCGTGTAGAGAGGATTTACACCAAACCTCACTGTTTTGTTACCTGTGCAGATATCCCTTAAGTACACTTACCCAGCATTAGTGTATTATAACTCCTGTGAATATCTCCCTGTTTAGTTAGAGCACCAATGCTCTGAGCTGAGCAGTGAGAAGCAGGAGAGCCACGTAGAGAACGTCAAACTGAAAATGACCAACAATGAGTTGTCCAGAGCGCTGGAGAGCACCAGCCAGGAGCTGGTGCTGGCCCAGGAACAGCTGGCTATGCTGCAGGAACAGGCCTCCCGGCTACAACGGGAGAAAGAAATGTGCGTATAAGCATTGTTTGTATTAACTGTGTTTCCCTGCAGTGTGCAAACAGATGCCATAGAGTAGCTATTTAAAAGCAAGTTTCTTCTGTCTTGTTTCAGGGATATGTACCGAGTAACTGAAGGACTGCAGAGGGAAAAGCAAAGTCTAATGAAGCAGCTTGACCTCCTCAGGTATAATGAGAACACCCAGCACTTTTCAAACTTGGGTAATAGTCCATGAGTTTTTGATGAGCCTGTATGCACACTTTTGAGCCTGTGTGGACTGGAGACAATCCAAAAGTTGTACAATCATTCATGCCAATGTTGAGTGGATATAAGTTTCTGACCACAACTATTGTTTTACTCATTTTGGCTCCTGGTTTAGTCCTAACTGGCCAAACCCTATGAATCAAACTCCAAGGTTCAAGGATTTGCAAAGCACAAAACACTCTTTAACATCCCTTCTTTAACTTCCCAGAGAGATGAACAAGCATTTAAAGGATGAGCGAGACTTGTGCTGTGGTGTAGTAAGTAAATAGTATTTTATGTAACTGCATTAACTCGATTACAGCACTAGAATAGCTGAGTAATGCACCTTCTTTTTGTAAACAAGCCTCGAACCTCACTCAGAAAGAAGCAGAAGCAGAGAGCGGGCCTCGGCAATATATTTGATGACAGCAGCCAGCCGGCAAAAAGGTGATTAATTCATCATTCAAGTACTCTTTTTAACAGAATTCATCCCTGTCAGATTGCTTCCTATGCAACAAATGACAAATGTGATGTAAAAATCATGCATCAAAGGAGGAAAAACAGAGGATGTCTGATTCCTTATACTCACAAAAAATAGCCAAATTATCAAGTAGAAATATTAGAAAACTCAAGTGAATTGATCCAGTAAATCCTCTGTTTCTCCTCTGTCCCCAAAGAGCCTCACTGTTGGTGGATGGGTCCTACCTATCTCTGGAGGCCTTGCCTATAGAGCACCTTCAAATCGTTTTTGTTGCTTCCTCCTCCTGTAGTGAAGATGACACCACCACTGCCACCCCTGCTCCCTCCACCACAGCTGCTAGCAGCCCTGTGTGCCAACAAAGGCCTTCAGCGAATAGGAACTCTGGCTTAGCCAACGGTCACATCAGCCCCGCTCTGCCTAAAGTGCACGACGTGAAGACAAAGGCCAAAAGGCTGTCCACCAAAATGGCCACCAGCAAGAGGGTGTTAGGGAGAAGCAGAGACAAATCAAAGAAAGTCGAAATTGATAAGAAGGTGGCAGAAGAGGAGGAGGTGTTAGATGCCCCGCCGGACGGGTGGCCCCTCCGCAGAGTCATCTCCATAGAAGAGGACCACCTGCCCCACCTGCTCCAAGGAGAACCTCAGCCCTTACTGCACCAGCTCAGCGAGGAGGAAGACGAGAGGGATGAGGAGGAAGAAGACGACAGAAGGAGCGACCTCAGTGCTTCCCCACGTTACATCTCAGTGTCAAAAGAAGCTCCTCCTGCAAGGAAATCCTACTTTACTCAATCGAAGAAGACCCCACCTGTATCTCCAAGAGGACAGCCTGTGGGAAAGGAAACCTCACAGGTGTGTTTACGGCTCCCCACTTTTATATATGCTTTTAGATAAGTTACTGGAGAGGTAATGAAACTGTCTTTCTAATTGCTCGCCTACAGAAGGCGAAAGAACTGTTTGCCCCAGACCGCCTGTTTAAAGTGGTCCTGGTTGGAAATTCCAGCGTTGGGAAAACATCCCTGCTGCGCTCCTTCTGTGAGGGCCGTTTCCACCCTTCCACAACTGCTACTGTGGGTGAGAAGAAAGGCAGTCATATTTTATTGATGTTTCAGGGCCCGTTTTAAACAGATCTGAAGGGCATGTGTGCGAGTGTGGCTGTGGATGCCTTTCCTGAATACTGGGGGGCGATTTAGCGTCACATGAAAGGGCTTGTGAAGTCACACTGCCTGTCTAAGAGCCCTGGCACTCATTGTACTACAGATTATGTCACTTTGGATGAATTTTCTTTATCCTCGCTTTCATCTTTTCCAATCCTCCTTGTATGCCTTGTTGTCACCACCTTTCTCACCCCTTTTTCTGCTGGAATGAAGCACAGGCACTTTGATCCCCCTACTGGCCATTTATATCATTGCTCCTCCGTAGTGAAAACGAGAAGTAAAATCAAACCTAAATTAAATGTGAGAAGTGTGTCCTTATATTATGTTCGATTATGTATTATATGTTATTATATGTTGTTGTTGTTTTTTTAAATCAGGTATTGACTACAGTGTGAAGACATTAACATTGGACAATATGCAGGTAGCCATGCAGCTTTGGGACACTGCAGGCCAAGAGAGGTGAGTGACCACTTCCTTCAGCATATTTCAGTTAACTGGTTGGATATAAACCACTAATATCTTGCAACTTTAAGCTTACCAATAAAATACTAATCAAGAATATCGTATCCAAAGTCTGAATATATAGTCAGTTTATTGCAACCTTCCTCCAATCTTAGGTTTAATCTGAGAGAAATTGTGAGCTTTTTTTAAATCAAATTATGACTTTGCAATCTCAAAACAAAATTTCCACACTTGCAAATTCCCTTTAATTATGCTTTTACCCTGCCACTGTATTACTTTATTTTATGTTTTCATTTTTTTTATAGAATTGATCTAATATGCCCTCTTAATAAACACAATTCCTCTTGCAATACTTTATTTTACATGAATGGAAGTGTATACAGTATATACAGTTAGGTTAATAAGTTTCTGAAGACTGAAAATTAGAGATACTGTATAAAAATGTTTTTATTTCACTTAATGCATTACTTTTGTCAAAACCTTTGAATTAAATCCAATACTATGGACTTCTTGAGTGTTTCAAATCCTCCGTAGAAGTGAACAGAAACAAAATTACAAAAAAAATGTGTCGTATTTCCAACACTTCTTCTTCTTTTCTTGAATAGTCACTATAAAACAATAACCATGTAGTATTATTGTATCAGTATTGAGGTGGATGTACATAATGTATTCTTATACTCACATTTGAGTGCTGACATTCAAATCCTGCTACTGACACAGGTACCGCAGCATAACCAAGCAGTTCTTTCGCAAGGCAGATGGTGTGGTGGTGATGTATGATGTTACAGTGGAGGAGAGCTTCAAGGCTATGCGGCCCTGGCTCACAAATGTTCAGGTTGGACCTTTGACCCATTCAGTCCTGTGCAAGTCTTGTTTTGTTGCATGCATGGTTCAGTTCATCCAATTTTGGAATTCACATTCTTAAAAGCTGGGGTTATTGCTCATAACGTTTATGCAGTTCACATCTTTGGCAAATCCTGAAATGGGAAGCTCTGGAACACTGTTCTTTATTTTCTTAGGAAGCAGCAGGAGAAGGGATCCCTATTCTCTTGCTAGGTAACAAAATGGACATGGACGAAGACAGGGAGGTGTCATTTAAAGAAGCTGAGCAACTTGCTTATGTAAATCTAATGCATTTTTGTGCAAGTATTGCCTGTTCTAGGACAACAGTGGGTCTGAATTTGTGTGCACACCCTTTGCAGGAAAACAAGGTGATGTTCTTTGAGGTCAGTGCCTACACGGGAAAGAATGTGACAGAGTCCCTGACTCACCTGGCCAGGTAAGATCAAAACAATCTGATACACAGTGCACTGGGGCTGCATTATGATTCGCAGCAGATGTCAAGTCTTTTTTCCCCCTCTTTGTTTACTCAGAGTGTTAATGGAGCAGGAGGACAGGGTGAGAGATACAACAGTCATACTCAGCACTCAGCCTGTGAAGAAGAAAGCCTGCTGCAAGTGAAGACTCAAGCTAACACAAAGAAAACCTAAAACCATAGGAAAAAATTTTTTGTACTGCTATACTCAGTTTATTGAGAGGCAGATCTTTTTTTTTTCTGTGGAGATTAAAATGTTTGAAGACAAAACTGAAAAGAGTAATGGACTTTAAAACCAGGAAGGCAGTAAATGCTTACATCAATATGCGGTAGAAGTCCGTATAGTCTGTGTGAACAAACTGCTGTCAAACTTTAATGAAAGGAGCTCCTCTACAGTAAAAAAAAAAGTTGTGCCATTACCTGTAAATGCCAAATCAAAATTGTCTCTTTGTAGTATTTAGAATATTCCTTATTGCAATTAAATAAAATCCTTTTACCTAAGAGGAAAATCAGAAGTATACTGTAGCCTTTTCATAACAGAATCTTTGCTTCAAGTTTGAAATGAAAGCGGGATAAATTATTTGATTCTTTGACATTTTATTCATCACCACATTCTTTTTTTTTTTTCCATATTCTTTGATCATCCGATCTCTAAACAAAGTGGTACATGGCATAATTGCATCATGTTTGTTACTGTTCTGAGGCATTCTTCTCTTTTTTCTGGCACCAAAGTTCTCAGTAATTAAAGAAATAAATTCCATTTCACATCTTTCTGAAATTAAAAAATGAAAAAGGATTCACATGCAGATACTTGCTAAAATAAAGCAATGAATTACTGTACTCTCTATACAATTATACAATATGTAATAAATGTTACTAAAGGTAAAACAGTTAATGACTGTGCTATAATCCTCTTAACATCACACAAGTTAATCGTTTTCCATTCATTGTAATAATAATAATAAATAAATAAATGATTTTCATTTCATACATCAATCAAAATAATTCTCAGAAACAGACCAAAAAATCAAGTAGGATGATACATTCAATGAGGTGCCCGAGTCAATCAAGTTGGTACACATGATGGCACTATTGCTGATAGATACGTGCCTATTGTGATGACATCACCTAGATGCTGGCTTGATGGCATCCAATCAGATGCGCCCAGATGCCCTCCCTGGCAAACTGGAATGCTTATTGGAGAGCCTGTGCCCTCCCCCTCGCTGACCAGAGGGGCTGAGGCTAGGTCTGCGGCACGGCTTGGTCTGTTGTTCCTAACGCATTTTGTAGTCGTGGGAAATGGCAGCCTCGCATAGCTGTCCTTTAAAATCTAGCTCAAGGGTGAACTCCAGGTCACGCTGCAACAAACATTACCAAAAGTGAATTGAAGTAATCAGTTACAAAGAATTACACACAACCAAAAAGGCGAAGGACATGCAGCACTGTAAGAAATATTTCATTAATTAAAAAGAAAAGAGATTCTCTGTTAATTAACTGCATGCACACAGCAAATAAACAGGACATTTTCTATTATTAACAATAACTACAGGGAACATAGGACACATACCATTATTTGAATATTTTCTGTTATTTAATGGTGTGTGGTCAGGATACAGAAGAAGCAGCTACTTTTCAGCAGCTCCTTTGCCACAAGGGGTCACCGTAGTGGGTAGCTCTTCCTGACGCAGCCCCAAAGGGGATTTTGTGGCTCAGGCTGGAATTAAACCAGCTACTTTTTGCTTGCTAAGCAAATATGCGCTATTAGAGGCAGTCTACAGTAAAACAGGATGTTAAAAATATGGCATTTTTTTACTAATTGAAGGTTTATCTATAGTAAAAAGAGGACTTTTTCCACTATTTGTATCCATATCTTTATTATATTTCTAAGTATGTTGCTGCTGTTGTAATTTAGGTAAATTCCCTTTTTAAGTCTAGAGAATTGTCTTGAAAATTTTTAGTCTTACCACATTCTTCTCGTTGGGCCTGACAGCAAGACTGCCAAAGATCTCCTCTCCCTTCTTGACAGTTAGGTAGTCCTCTAAATAAAACACAGTCTGTTTCCAGTGTGTGCTTGGGGCATCTGGAGCTAAAGATAGGATGTGATGGAGGGCAAGGGAAAAGGCAGGGAAGTGAAAATGAAAGATGGTGGAGATGATAAAGAGAGAGGAGGAGAGAATTTGAAATTAGGTTAAAGAGGAATGGTGGTGAAGCAGTAAGAACAGGCAAAGAGGAGTAAAGAGGAGTAGGGGAAATAAAAAGATTTACAGAGTAGTCTTGACAGGCACTAGACTGCCTTCGGCATGTTAGCATAGAAGAAATATAACAGCAAAGTGCCTGAAATTCTCTCATCCAATGGGAAAAATACAGAGGCAGATAGAAGAGATCTCCTTCGGTGATGCTCAGCCTCAGGGCCAACAGACAGCCAAAAAACAGAACCTCCTCTACGCGATATTATGTAAGCACCGGATGCGTGAATGTATTAACATAAGCTTGCATAACATATTTCACTATAATAGGTGTCCTCAACAGCATGATGACGCGCGCGGTGATTCTGCTGGTTCAAACACTGGTCACGTAACACCAGCAGAGTGTAGCCAAGAGCTAAGGTGCAGAAATGGAGCGCCATCCATTTAATATCCACTGATTCACTGCTCAAACTACTCAAGTGGCTGCGGGGCGAGCCAGGATGTGAATCTGCTTAACGGTGCAAGCAAATCTTCATGTATCCTTGGCTACAGTTTTATACATTTTATAAACTTTTGTGGTGTAAAATAACTGAATAATCTAGGAGAAATAATATTTATATCAGGTTTTGAAATCTGTGAATCGCTGAACACCTCAGTTCAGTTCTGAAACACACTTGCTGTGACAAATAAAACTGATCACAAGTGAAAAAGAAATGTCACTCATTGGTGTTTCAGTTAAATAACAAGTGGATTTGGAGAATATGTGTTTTAAGGCATAAGTTTCAGAAAAGATTGTGAGTGTAGACATTTAAAGTTCCTTAGAATTGTTTTATCATTGAAAGTGAACTACAGGAGTTGTCCACTCTTTTCATAAACCTTTCTGTTGCATCGCATTGGGTACATTGCAATAGAGTCCTGATAGACAATCCTGGGAAGTAATTGTCCTTGTCTGCTATGCAGCATAACACAACCTCACTATATAAGCACCACATGGAGAAAGTAATATCAAAAATGTATAGTACAGTACTGTGGAAATGGCTTGAATCACCCCTCATTTCTGTATATTTTCCTTCAATGATGTGAAATAGGTGCAGCAGTTTGTTGAAACGAGTTTTATTCAGGAATAGTTCTCCAGGCTTCTTGAAGGACATTCAGAATTCTTCCATGGATGTTGGCTGTCTTTTGATCTTTTCCTTGTTGGGATGATCCAGAGATTCAGGCTCTGGCCAACCCCTGATTGATAGTTCGATTCATGACTGATAGTTCCATGTGTGTTTTTCTGTGTTTGGGATCATTGTCATGCTGATAAATCAAACTGTTACCAATCTCTTTCCACATTATATTGCACGGTGGCACAAACCTAACTGCACTTTTCTGTGTTTGTTATTGAATCGATTTTGACAAGATCCCCAACACACCTCCACAACAAATTCATCTCCAAACCATGAGAGAGCCTCCACTGTGTTTTACAGATGGCTGTAGTGACTCTTTCCTAAACACCTTGGTTCATATTGATGATTTAAACAAATCCAAAATGTAAGTTTTGGATTGATCACTCCATAACACCTGCTGCCACTTATTTTCTGTTCAGTTCTCGTGTAATTTGGCATGCCTCAGCCTTTCATTCCTGTTTTCCTGCTTTAAAAATGGCTTCTTTGCAGGCACCCTTCCTTTCTCATGAGACTTTACTGAGCCGTAGATGGATCAGCCAAAGTGCCAGATGCATCTTTTCTGGAGTTTTTTCTATTTTTTAAAAGACATGCATTTCAGACACTGTTCATCTGCTGTAGATAATTTTGTCATTTCTTTTGTCCTCCACCCATTCAGTGTCCTCAATTTTGTTAATTAGACTACCCAGCATGCTCAGAAATGTCATGTTTTTAACAATAGATCTTAGGAATCACCTTGTTGCTCCAGAAATAGTATTTTAGGGCTGTTAAACTGTGGTGTCTTTGGAATTTTTGATAGATTCAGCTAAAGAATTGGAACAAATTATGTATTTTTGTAATGAATTGCTAGTCGCAGAGTTCCAAAAGATAAAATTACAATTCGTTTTTTGCTACGTTATCTGTTATGTGTGGAAATAAAACTGATTCATCCCTTGAACTAGGTGCCTTTTTTTAACGCTTGAATGATTCATAGGTCAGTGTTAAGTGGCTTACCAAATAAGAAATATTCCTCTTCCTTAAAATAAGTGAAAAAGCAGCCAATATCTAATGAAAAACCCTGGAAGATTATCAGAAAGCTGGGAGAACGACCAGTTAAACCAGTTTAACATTTTGAAGTCTGGTTACCAGGGTTGATCAAGACTTTTACACACACTGTACCAAAATATGTGACACAATTTTTTTTTCTATTTGATTGACCCAGAGGTTTAAATCTCAAAAGTCTTTAAAATAAAAAAGGCTCCTGTTTAGCCTCACCAGTGGAGAAACCAGTCTTCTTGTGACATTTGGTGAACTCAATGGTGAAATAGGTGACCAGAGCATGGACATAATCATTGCGCTGAATCTGCAGACAGAAGGCTGAGGTGAAGGACAGGTCCTCTGGTTTCACAGTGTAGATGTCCACTTCCTGAAAATAAAATTGCCAGTAGCTGATGTTATATATGTCAGGGCAAATGAGCTTGAAATCCATAACCATGCTATTTCAGAATAGAGCCACTGTACAATCACAGGCTTGCAACTTGCCACCACCATTTGCGATCTCTCACATACACATGCGGCACATGTATGTCAATGCTTCTTGATTATTCACCATGATTACTGTGCATGTGCAAGAATATGTGTGTGTGTGAAAGCCCACAGGTTGAATCACGGCTGGCAAATGAAGCCTGCTCGCACTACACATGCTGTGTGGGTGTCCTCCCTCATGTCTACAAGGGAGGGAGGTTTTGTACGTGTGAGTGTATGTGTGTGTTTTATATCAAACTGCCTTACTGAGGTAGCCACAGATCTAAGTACTTTGTCACCTGCTAGGCATCACACTGGGTTCAAAATAGAGGAGCAGGTGCATCTCTGCTTTGCATGTAGATGATGCTGTATTTAGGAGGATGGAGGGGGATTTTTATTTTAAATTGCAACCTGTTCATCTTGCCCAGCCTATTGGGCTTTGGAGCACTCGGCCATGTGGCGTCACCATGACAGATTGTGATTTAACACCTCTGTCCTTTCCAATGATACCAGGCCAGTATCGTATACAGCAAATTGTAGGAGGAGAGAAAAAAATTCCCGGGAGCGACTTTGTAATTTTAGCAGGCGAGGAATGACTGGCAGTTTGAATTAAGAAGCGGTGAAGTGGCTGGCAGGGGTGGGTTGGGGTGAAGATGCCCTGAATACATACATGTAAAAAAGATACCTGCAGTAAGAATAAAATTTCAGACGGCCATGTCAGTGGCTAAGCTCCTCCATCCTAACACATGAATCACCTTTTCTTAACACAAAAGCAAGACCATCGCTTATCACACTGATGGAGAGCCCATTTCATTCCCACTGGTGACTCAATGCCTGCTCTTGTGTGACATTTCACCATCGCACAGAGGGAGAGACTGAGTGAGACCTCCCTATTCACTCAGACTACTGAGGCCTGACATTGTTTAAAATCAGAGAATGGGACACAAGATGAAAGGAACGGTGGAGTGATTAGAAAAGTGAAAGTGAGAAACGAGACTATAAAATGATGTGAGAAAGAGATAATGAAAAAAGGGGCAATGAAGACATAAAATGCTCGGAATAGAAAGAAACATGATATATGGAGAGAAAAGGGACAGTGAAATAGAGAAAAGGTAAAGGTAGAGGGGACAAACAAAAAGGCTATCACCTCTGTGAATGCTCTCATCCTCTGTTCATTTGCGAGATGAAAGACAAGCTTCTGTTGTATCTTCAAGCATGAAAACAGAGCTGCAGCCTATTACAGCCAGCCAGAAATCTCTATTATGTACTAGAAAATAGACTCAATAGATGGGGAATGTTCACAGTGACAGAGGATCACAGCTGTCTGACTTTTTCTGGGAATTCATGTACCCAGGAGATAGAGAAAAACAAAAGTGTTTGGATATGTGCCACAAACAGGTATGAAATCATACTGTAGACAAAACGCGTTCACAAACTGGTGCAAATGCAGACTAACCTTCAGAAGGCAGGCGTTCGTCACCACTTGCTTGGGATCTACCACATCTACCAGAGGCTCTTTGATGGCCACATTGCGAATGCAACTCATGTCGAACCCATATACGTTTTCCCACCCTGTACATACAAAAAACAAACCAGATACCCATGTGAATGACCATGCACACAATATGTGTTTTCTGGATTTTTTTTCTCCTTCAGTTTTCAGGCACAAGCAAAGCTCTGTTCTCCCTGTTCCTGCTAAGCTGTCAGCACAAAAAAGGTAGCAGAGAAAATAAAACAGAGCGCTTGACTCTGCCAGGAAGAACAGTCCCGCTGTCTTTCTGTCTATCCAGGCCGTATGTGGAGAAAGACAAGCCGTCCCGAAAATATACTCTGGCCTCCTCCTCTACCTCCTCCAGAATGTCTGGCATCCTTGTTTTATTATAATTTGGGCTGAAAACACACCAAAAAACACATTCACTCTCCCACTCCCCCACTCCCTTCACTCCACCTTGCTTTGTCAGGAGGCCAAACACTAAGTCTGTATCATGAGATGGTGAGTGTGCCACCAACGCAAAAAAAACTAAAAATAAGAGTGTGAGGGTTTGGGGTAAAGTGAGTTCTTTTGGGATTTATGTGAAAGAATGTACCTTTATGTATGTTTAGATGTAATAAAGCACAGGAGGCCACCTGTGCAGTGAAAGGGAACTCAGTAGGCGTTATTGACCCAGATTCAAAGCCGATGTACGTACAGGTTTGAATGGCACCTTTAATACTGGATCACAAGGTTAAGCTCAGCCCTCCAGCTGTGTTAGCTATTTGAACACATGCCGTGAGTTTGGAGCAGAGAAAGCAGTTCAGGATAAAAAGTAACACGCTGGTTTAAATGCTTTTGAACCTCTTGCTGCACAACAGGTTTCAATGCTAGATTAAACTACTTCCACTTAAATTAAAAATTATTTGCATTCACCCAATTTTTAATCTTATGGTCTTTATGGCTATAACCCAATAAATACCCTGTACATTTAAGCCACTTTTGCAGAAGGTACTGCTTTTTACTGTGGCATGTTTTGGGGTTTTTTTCCCCTTGCAGTCACTAATCAGCATTTAAGAACAATCTATGGCTTGTCGCTGTCACATAAAGTACTGTTTGGTTTTATAACCTACAGCTTCACGGTTTTGGTTCAGTCTTAGAAGTAGCTAGCTCTTTTCAGATGTTTTCAGTTTGGGACTGAAAACATCTGAAGCATTTGAGGCAAGCAGGAAAAGCTCAGTAGGTAGAGTGGTGGCCCCATGATCGGTAGGTTGGGGGTTCGAATCCACTGAACAACTACCCTGAGGTACCCCTGAGCAAAGTACCGTCCCTACACACTGCTCCCCCGGGTGCCCAATGGCTGCCCACTGCTTCACTGAGTGAATGGGATAAATGCAGAGAGAAATTTCCCCACAGGGATCAATAAAGTATACATTATTATTATTACATTATAAACAAGTTGCTCTACTAGTGAGGAGAGTGGAACCCAGTATTTTAATTTAGCAACTGATGAAGTCTAAAGCTGGTCAAAGAAACTGACTTTCATTTGCAGTCATGTAAAAAAAAACAAAAAAAAAACTTCCACAGGACTATGCACTTTAGCAGCTTGGAAAAACCACCTTTAACAGCAATTTCTACATGACTTTATCAGTCTCTCACATTGTTGTAGAGGAATTCTGGCCCACTCTTATTTACAGTGTTGCTTCAGTTCTTTGAGGTTTGTGGGCATTTGTTTATCCACAACTCTTAAGGTCTCAACGCAGCATTTCAATCAGACTCAGGTTTGTGCTTTAACTGGGGCATTGCAACAGCAGTATTGTTTTGTTTTCCATTTTTAGCCATTCTGTTGTACCTTTGATGCTTTGCTTGGGATCATTGTCTTGCTGCATGACTCCTTATCAGACCATATATAAAGTAGACAGAAAGGCATGAAGTGGGAAAAGAAAGGGCCTCGGGTCTGACCCAAACCTAGGCTGCTACCTTTCACCCTCACAGAGGCTTTCTCCCAGCAAAGTAAGCACTTGTTCAGTCTTTTGTACTGCCACAAACATTAACATGCCAACTCACACCTGTAGAGTCTGAAATGTAACTTTTGGACTTTCTGTAATCTGGTTTTACTGACTACTTAAATCAGTTCGGAATACAAACCAAATTTAAACAAACATTCATGTGCACTTTATCTACTACTCATCCACAGGAACCATCACGCTGTGACGCAACAGTGGGCACTAGTTAAACACAGCTGAGAGGAAGCCCGAAAGAATTTAAATGAAACTGCAACAAATGTATCGTAACTACTCACAATGTATCTTAAAGTCCTTGTACTGCCGGTCTTCAATGGCTACCACGTAGAGCGCTGCTCTGTCAGGGAACATCAGGCCTCCAGGTTTCTGAATACAAGAAGAAAAAAAAAAGTCAGGTATCCAGTGAACACACACACAAAGGCCATCAATCACTCATACTGTTCACACACCTGGCATGTAATAAAAGATCACATGTGCTGAGTTCAAAGCCTGCTGACAGCCATTGAGGTTAGCAACCTGATCATTCATGTATGACCTCAGCATCTGGCGAGCAGACACATGCAAGCGAGCGTACAGTAAATTCTCCACTTCAACGCTGTGTGCTGTGTCTATGTGTCAAATAGCCTTATTTGTCCAGCCAGCCACTCACAGACACACACGCACATAAAGCCCTGCTTAACTCCCCAAACCTCCCGCAGCACCATCTTACCAGCCACTTGTCCCTGGCAAAGATGACCGTGTTGAGCATGGATTCGTAGAAAAGGCAGTAGCCCATCCACTCTGAGATTATAATGTCCACCTTCTCCACGGGCAGCTCCACCTCCTCCACCTTGCCCTTGAAGATGGTAATGACTGCAGTGTGCATAGCCACAAAACAGCAGGCAGTAAATTACTTCACAGCTTCTTCATCAGATTAGAGCAAATGACTTTATTCTCAAATGACAATGTTTGTATGCCTTGGGATTGCTGTAAATTAGTACAACTTAATTATTGTTGTCATCTGGCGCCTGATTTTTTTTTTGGTGCATGCATTTTATTTGTCTCATTTCCCCATTCTGACATCTTTGACCTCCAGAGGAAGAAGACACCACCAATTTAAAGAGGTGTTACACGGCAGGGAGTTTTGTATTACCAATTGACCTATGATGTGCAGTATATATCATTAATTTCATTACTAAATATAAGGAAAAATAATTTAAAAAATGTATACATTTTCTCACGGCAGGTGTTCATTCATTCAGTGAATTTAAGCCATCTGTGTTCCACAACATTAATGAATGCAGTGCACAGATGCTTTCCTTCTAAAGTAGCATAAAGGGGCAGTTACTGAATTTATGCCAAGGTTTTGTAAATTGAGCTAGTCACAAAATTTCATTCATCAAATATTCAGAAATTACAGGAAAATTCAGCAATTCAATACTCCGCCCCTAATAACACAATTGGAGGTTAAATTACCTTTTTCTAATGACTGATAGTCAGTTCTACATCTACTTTTGGAATATTTATAGTTATTAATGCATAAACGGAAGTCCAGACATTATAACTTTACCACTAGTCTATGTTCAGGGGATCAAAAGCCAAGTACCTGAAATGTAAATATAAAAGATTAAATTAAAACCAGCCTAATGTCAAATATGTAGGTTATGAAACCAAGCATCTGTTTCCCATCCTCCCTCTGTGAAGTTCAGGGTGGCATTTTACAATGGTAATAAGCCCCACTGAGGGGATTCTGATTGATGGCAAAGATTACTGTTATTTGACGAGCTGCCATTTAACCATCAGGACTGTGACTAATATTGTCAAGTGTGACGGTAATGATGGAAATATACAGATTTTACACGCTACTTCTCAACCAGATATGTTTGCATCGTTCTGTCTTCAGATAGGTGGATGTGGGATTATGGCAGTAATGAGAAACAATACTTCTTCTTACCATTGTGCAGGTGATTCGACTTGATAATCTTCTCTGAATATTCAGATATACTTGAGCATTCAATCTGCAGGATCACAGAAAAAAAACTTCCAGTTAAAAGGTCGAGACATGGAGTTATTAGTCTATCTTTAAATTAAAAACAAACAAGCACTTTTTTGATCAATTTATCAATAATTAGAAAATATTTCATGGGTTTTAGTGTGAGTAAACACACACAAAAAATTAATCAAATCCATCTAAAAACACTAAGGGGCTTTTTGCATCTTCAAGTGCAAATAACAGTGTCTATGGATGCAGCTGCTGTTCTTCCAGATAAGTCATCTCAGATCTGGTGCCAAATGAAAACTCATGATTAAACCTTCCTATTCATGGGTATACTACAGCCTATAAATCATACACAACTGTGGGTTACAACACCAACCTGTCACTCACAGCTGTTCTCTAAGGGGAGCCAGGTGTCTCTTATTGCCTCTGTCTAACAGAGTTTGCCTGACAAGCTCTTAAGATACATTTTAAAAAAGCCAGGATACTTTTTTAAAATAAATGTATTTGATATGGAGGAGTCAGAAGTCAAATATGTGTAGACTGCAACTATTTCTCTCATAAAGATTTAAACAACAGCAGTGAATGTTTGATTGCAGTGAAGCATTTGTTTGTGGTCAGATAGTTCATCTATTTGTCTCACCCCGTACACATGTTTGGCACCGGCGTTGGCAGCAAACATTGAGAGGATTCCAGTGCCGCTACCGACATCCAGGACTATTTTATCTTTGAACACGTGCTTGTTGTGGTACATGGCATTCCTGTAGGTCAGTGTCCGCACCTCATCTTTCAGCATCTCCTGCAGTGTAAATAAGAGTAAGAGTCCATGTTACCTGATGATTTTTCCAGTACCGGCACGCATACAAAGGACCAGAAACTCAACTACCAAAGAACGGTGTGATTCATAAAAATCCTCAAAGGAATACATATTACACATTATGTTACATAATGGATCTACATTGTGGCAAGTGTGGGCAGTTTTGAGAATACATTGATTTTTTTTCCATGAGTAATGATATGGAAAAGGCAGTATTTAGGCCAAAAGCGTTAGTGACAGTGGCAGAGCTTCTTGAAATAGACAGGAGTACAACACAAAGCCTTTGGGGACTGCCTGATACCCATCTCCCTGAGCCCATTCACATATCCCACTTTCCTTCTTTTTCACTTTGCACTGCTTTAATCAGGACACACTGGTTGACTGCAAGCAGACAAAAAGCTGACCTATATGCTAAATGCAGACACTGTTTAAGAGGTCTATATGTTCCTAAACTTATCCACCATCTCTTTGTCACATACCAAGGTCATTAGTTGGGCTGTGGCCTTGGCACTTTACTTCAGATAGTTTTAAAAGACAAACAAACACTTTTTACTACTGGAGTGCTGAATATGGATTTTTACCCTGCATATAATGTTTTTAGTGGTGCTTGGTAATAGAAAAGCCTTGTGTTTTGTCAGTTGTCAGCTACTCTTAAATTCCCCCCATGAAATCACTTTTAATACTTAAAGTTTGGTTCATGCTGGGAGTTTATTATTCGATAAATTTAATAATTTCAAAAATGTTGCAGATGCTTTTGTTTAAATCTCAAACTCCTTTTAAGGGCAGATTCTGAGAGTTCTGTTTTTATTTGTCTCCATTTTGTTGCTTTTAGTCGTTCGTTAGGCTTTCCCTTGGCATCTGTTACCTTAAGTGGATCTACTGAACTGAAGGTTTGATTTCTGTATGCACAAGGTTCACAGTTATTGAAAATACAGCATAAGAATATGCATCAAAATCAAAATAAAAGCCCAATTGTCCTTGTATATTATAGTGTTAAATCGGTTTAGGTTATTTTTTGACATATCCTACTAGTGTAAAGCCAGCCAAGCATGGTTGAAATTCCTTGGCAAAGATAGAAAGAGTCAAGGGGGTGCCTTTTTTTAAAAATTCTAATCATACCAAGCTGCTGTTTTTCCAGCCCTGTCTGCATACCTCATGGATGCCAAAGTGAGCATAAGAGTCAAAGTAGTAGTCCCGTGATGTCATTTCCTCGGGGCTGATGAACTTGGCAATCTTGCCTCGACCAGGACAGGTGGCCAGTGCTGCTACATGAGGCGTATGGGGAACGCAGGGCACATGGTGGGTAGTAGGCACTGGTTTAGGCAGTGGGGAGGGCTGAGCAGACTGAGAAATGGGGGACATTACAGGCTGCTGCCTCTGTTAAGGACATACAAGAAAAGAAAAAAAGGGAGAGTTTGTAGCATCATTTAGACATCACAGTCAAGTTAATGGTTTAAAACGAAATTATGGGAATACATAGGTTACAGGTTAATAACGGTCTTCTAGAGAGATCATTCAATTCAAACCAAGAATAAACTCTGAAATGTTTTTTAATTGTATTGTAAAGCCATTTCCATAACACATATGAGACAGCGGTGATACACAGTGCACTCATGGAGGAGCCGGCAAGAGATGCAGGTTCCGCTTCAGCACCAAGGACAGCGGACATTATCACGTTCAGCAGCCCATGTCCGTGCATCAGTAATGAACCACTTAGTCAAAATGCAAATATTCCATATGCATCGTCTATTTTAACTGCATTTCCATGCGTCTTTTGAGTCTAGAGCTGTCCTGACATCTGCAGGACATGCACTTTACTTAGCTTACAAGCCATCAGTGCAAAATCTATTCTTAAACTCGTCTCCATAATTATCGCTGAAAAATACAGAGATATGCATAATATCTACACCAAATGTGTTGACACGATCAAAAAATACCAGACGGAGAGTTCACCGGTCCCGCTAAATGCGGTGCAGGACACCACAAGGTCCCTACCTCTGAGCTGTCCGCCTCCGCCATCTTCCGCCGTAGCAGCAAACAACGCGACGAATGCCTCAGTCCCATGAGAGCTGACGAGATTTAGGCTACAACTCTTTTAAGTGTTCGGGGGCTCTGAAATCCTAATAGAAACGTGGGAAAAATAACAGAGAGTCACAGAATATGACTGGAACACACGGAAAAGTGAGGGTCATTCTAAGAATGTATCACAATTTCTTACAAATTAGGCTAAACCCACTCCCGGTGGAAAGTTGTGAATATGAATTTGAGCGAGGTGAAACGTTCGGATATCCATACTATAAATGCGATACAGGTTGTTTTTAGTGGGAGGACTCAGGGAGGCAGAGCAGTCTATTGGCTGGAGAGATGGTGTTGCGAGTAGAAGGTTGTAGGTTTGATACCAGCACTAGTCGGTCCTTCCGTTAAAACCCTCGTGCGCCGCTTCAGCGTAACCCGCTCGCTCATTTTTACATCTCCGGTAAAAGCAGGCTATCAGAGAAGACGCGAAATGTGCCGCACCACCACCAAGAAAGACATTCAGTCGCGTATTACAAAAGCAGTTCCACAAAAATGCTTCTCATCAGCCACTTCATCTCTTGGAAACAGCTCTCATCACAGGGACTCCGACACCAAAAGTCGCATCTTTTTGTGTTAAAGCCCTTTTAGTTGTAACGCCGAAGGCTTTCTCCGCAGAGAAAGTTTAAAAAAGGGGAGTTCAAACTGCTTAGTGTGCACCCGCCTGCCCGTTAAACTGGGACCCCGCTGACGACATGAAACGAGTGGTGACAAAAATACAACTGTCACCAAACAGAATAGCTTAATCTCTGCCTTCTCAAAGCTAGATTCCTTCTCACACCAGACTTTCCCACAGTTAAAGGACCCAGGCAACCGGCAAGATTCTTAGTGGCTCGCTTATATAACACAGGTGTTTGAGTTGGAGAAGAAAAAAACAACAACTGCAATACAAACGTGGTATGCTAATTCTGACCATGAGGCTGTTTAATGTTGAGAGAGGTGTAGGCTACCTATAGGTCCCTTAATGATATCTGAATTGTAAATCGATTAAAGGTGTGCGGCTTCCGATTAGTAGCAGTAAATAGTTTTTAATTACTTGGCACAAAGCCTATCAGAATCGAGGACCAACGTTCTAGAATTATCTAGACATAAAGAACCAATCAGCTTCAGAGGAAACTTTAAATCATGTTATAGTTACATTGTTACTTGAAAGTTGATTCCGTTTATAATTTCATGGTAATTTTGACGATATCTTTTTTCAGTGTTACAACCAAAACGTACAAAAAAAGCTATTTGACCCGATTCATGACTGAGTAGTCTACCACAGACAACGCATGGAAACAGTCATGTATTCGTTGTGATATGAAAATCAGTCAGAGCAGGTCCATTCAAACAATACACATATACATTAATTTCTGAGCACATTTTTTCATACGTTATTCGATCATTTCCGTTTTGGAATCTTTATTTTAAGTGTTAGAATATATCCATCCATCCGTTTTATGTTGTTGGGGGACAGCAGCCTCAGCAAACCATTCCCCTCCTCCTGGACTCACCTAGGCGTTCCTATAGGCCAGACAAGAGATGTAATCTAGTCTCCCGGTAGGACATCCCCGGTAAAGCTCGCACAGGAGGCACCCAGGGGCCCAGCTCACACACCATAGTTAAAATATTTAAATTTCAACTAAATTTGTAGTAATGATCGGATTTCCTCACTTATCTACACCACACTCCTTGTCCTTGATTTCTTATCATTTCTTATCGTTCCTCTGTCCCTTAATAGAAACCACATATATAGAAACTATCCTCCCTTTCAGTTGTCTTTTGCACTTCCATATCGCAAAG